TAATAAGCAGTTTGAGTGCTGACCGTTCTATAGCATTTTTGTCACAAAAAGACGAATCCCCCCTGCTACGTCAAGTTAATTGTCATTTGCCCTCTAAAGGTCAGCGAACGGATGTACTACATAAATCATTGTTATAGGGAAAGCAGCGTTGACGCTAATAACAGAAGAGACCTGAGTGGCTATTTCTGTCTTATTAGCCGTCATTAATCAACCATAGCCAACAACAGGTGGTGCAATATCCTAGGCTCGAACACGCGACCTGTTGATTAGAAGTCCAACGTTCTAAACACTGACTCAAGGGCACGTTATCGTACCGGTTTCGATCAGGAATATTAACAGTGGTTAATTGACGCTCACTGGTCGTTTTTAGAACTAACTTTTCCGTTGTCCCTCGGAACTCACTCCTGAGCTCCATAAGCAGTCGCACATCGACTAGTGTTATATAAAAAAATACACTACCATTAAAGACAAGGGAGACTAGATTTACCATTTCTGGCCTAAAAGCTGTTATCAACCAGCCAAACCTCATCACACCAACAATTTGGAATTCATATGTACATGGAGATGAATGAAAGAGAAAAAATAGCATGGCCAAAATCCACATAGAAACTCGAGACGCTTCTCGTTTAATCATTTTTATTCCACATTCATTTTGTTAACGAAAATATGTACAGTTTATAGTGCAATCTATTATTTTTATTGAGGTAACTTTCCACTTCCTCCACAAAATTTGTATATTTTGGCCAATGTCTGTAGTACATGAATATAAGTAAAACGAGAGGCGATTACTAGTGAAGCATCTGCTTGCTGAGATTAAATTTTCAGGTTTGATAAGATAGAAATAGACGTAATTTTTAACTCTCAGATAAAATTCTTCTCTATTGCATGAACTATTAAGGAATTTGCAAATATTTTTCTCTTTTCCAAATCGCTCATTTTGTGCCTCTTAAGCCTTAAATTTATTAAAAAATAACTTTACTTATGAAAAAATATAATTTGTTCCGTCTATTGTTAATAAAGGGCTAAGAAATAAACAACTTTTGTTGTAGGTCGCAGTCTAGTAAACGACTATTGTGAAGCTACGTACGCAAAGAAAATGCTTTAAACGTCTACAGAAGTGAGACTGTTTTATTTTACCAGTTCGTTGAGGAAAAGCCTTTAACCAGTTCTTGAACATGAGTTTACGTATCTGATTTTTATTTACGCCCTCTCGGCGCTTTCGTTCTTTTTATAAAAGGCGGTTGATTTTAAATAACGACAGAGTACCCTTAACATCCATTTTTCGTTTTCTGTTAACTGGAGGTAGTTTACTATAAGTAGAGTACTGTAAAGGATGTCTTTGGACTGATTTACAACTAACTAGTGAAATCTCTGCATTTTGGCCAATTTTCGTCGATAAATCACATACTCTAATCAATACCACATACAACAAAGCACAGCAAAAATATGTGTCCTAAAATCAGAGTAGTGTCCATATTCATTTTCACTTTGCGTGTAAGTAACTATCAAGTCGGCCGCTGGTTGAATTTAATGGTTTTGAGAGTTGCTACAGCCATATAAAATTCCCATGGACTACTTCTCGCATCCGATTAGTTCAGGCGTTTGGACACACAAACTCAAATCAAGACTTTAAAATAGGGGGCATTGCTCTATAGGAATGAAGGATAATGATCAAAATGACCTTTGCCAAATAAAAATGCTAATCAGCGTCTTACCATAAAATTGTGCTTTTATTGCTTTTTAAAAATGGATGTCCAATTCCTTTATCTTTCATTTACGTAGACCCAAAGAAATCGCACATAAAACCCCGTCATGAATAATTTTCAATAGCATACAAATATGCGTTTTAGTTTCTAAAAAATAAAATTGCCATTTCATGTAGTTTAAACCGCTTTGTTCTTCCCACATTGCCATTAATAATTTATACTATTCAGTTTTTATCTGTTAAATTTCGGGAAAGAACAAAATGTGCCTCGACTATTTCACATAAAAGCGTGATAAAGAAAAGCATGAGAACTATGGAAGCAAACCAAAGGCATTTTCTTACATAGTTTACTTCTGAGTTTGGTGAAACACATCGACAACATATATATTAAATAAAAGTTATAGTAGAAATGTCAGATTTCTCAAAGAATATTTGTTTTAAGCTTAATGCGTTCGATCAGAAAAAAGATCGAAATGATCTGCATGAAAATAATTAAATTTAACCCAAGAAAATCGGATGTTTCACATTCAAAGAACAAACAATCAAATAGTGCTATCGTTTTCTTAGATTCTGTTTACTGTTAATCACGAAACAAAATGCGCAGTTGGCCCGTCGTATTCGACAGCATAGACAATATCTTAAATGTTGGGAATATCGGATTTTTGTCGACCGGTCAGACCTTCTTTATTAAACCAAGCATATGGAAACATTTAAATTTAGGCAACTAACAACTATTTGTGCGTCCCTTACATTCATGCCTATTTCCATAGCAAATTTTGGGGAGTAAAATGAATTGAATTTTATGCAGTGTCGTACTCACAGGTCTTATCGTTGCATATAGAAGTTTTAGATGATAGACTGACCACTTAAACCACTGACTATATGGTAGGTAACTTTTGTCGCGAAAGGTTAGCTGGCATGAAAAGCAAAAAATTCGCGGATAGCTGGTTGTCCATTTAATAACCAACTTGATATTTATATGGCTAAGCAGGAAGCTCTTTCGGTTCACCCACTTAAGCCTGAGAATAAGCAATAACAATAAAAATGATTCACAGGTAATCGTTTTGCTTCCTCCAGAGCAGATATCGACATAGGTTACAAAATGCAATAACAGGCGAAATAATATCGTTTACGAGCCAACTTTTCTTTGCACAAGAATACAGGCTGTGCGTTTGCAGTTAAGATAGAATTGTTTACAATTTTTTCAAAGAATGATATCATGAGACATGTTTGATCACTAGATAGAATCCATATTTCTTGACAAAATTTGTTGTGTGTGCTGCTATTTTAGGCAAATCATTTTATCCGTATGCGCCTATAAACAGGACACAATTTGTCAACCGCAGAAAACAACAAGCTTCGAGAACTTACTAAATTGAAAATCATCTTTAACTTTCGTTTTTCCGGAATTTGTATCGCATACAGCGGGACCAATATTTTATCTCCTGGATTAAGTCTTCGAAAATCACAACACAGTCCACAAACGTCACAGGACAAAACAAGACATAGTGGACATTTTTCAACACAAAGTATTTTATGTTTTCAAGAACTAATGAGACTCATGACAAGCACAATGATGAATTCTCGTTCCTCTAACAAAACAACCTAGGAGGCTGCGACTAATTATCTCAGTCAGACGCACGCCAAGGCATGCAAAATTCCCCATTGTTTTTAGTTTTTTTTTCATGCTGCATGGTAATTTGATTAACCTCACTAAAAATAAAACTGCTTCTGCTGGCTGATTGCATTCCTTTAAAACGTATGGTTAATTATTTGCTGTATATACCTTTTCTGAATAGTCTAAATATGTGAGGCCCAGGTAATTGAATGGGAGACGGGAAGGCGTTCTCTGGGACAGTTGGTTAGTTGTCCGACCGTTTCAAATCTCAAGCGACAAGTGACTCGCGTGAGAGTTCACAAGGTCGGGCCGGTCAACAACTGGTTCGAGAGAAGGTCTTCCCGAAGAAAAGATGCACGTCCCTGGACATAAATGAGAAGAAGTGGCAACTTTGAGAAACATAATAGTATTTTTCCTGACGTTTAAAAAGCACCCAAGCTTCCGTCGTTGAAGGTAACAGTGGTATTGCGCATCATGGTATTTGTAGGTGGTAACGAAGATAGTTAATGCGGGTTTATGAATGTAGCGGAAGGGGGCTTGGGGCTAGTAGGACTCGTCATTCATCGCGCCATCCTGCAAGGGTGAGACCAGGAGAACGTGTTAAAGCAAAATCGCCAGGCTGGGACGAGAGCTG